CACATAACCACCACCCACCACAGCTAACACAATACCTTACATATAAGAAGATCTTGAATATATATATATATATTGTTGTTGTGGTTAGGTGCCATCAGTGTGGTACATCTCATAGCGACCCTATGCACAACAGAAACAAATACCATCCAGTCACTCATCAACGTCACAAATGTTGCTATGACTGAGCTCATTGCTGACGCCACCACACCAATCCATCTCATTGGGGTCTTCCTCCTCTTCTCCAACCCTCCACTTTACCAAATGTGATATCTATCTCCAGGGACTGGTCCCTACTGATAATATGTTTAAAGTATGAAACACGAAGTCTGGCCATCCTGGCTTCCAAGGAGCATTCTGGCTGTACTTCTTCGAACACAGATTAGTTTGTTCCTTTGGTAGTCCATGATACTTTTAATATTCTCTTCCAACACCATAACTCAAATGCATCAATTCTTCTATGGTCTTCCTTCTTCATTGTCCAACTTTCACATGCATATGAGGTTATTAAAAATAACATGGCTTGAATCAGGCACACCATGGTCCTCAAACTGACATTTTTGCTTTTCAATACTATAAAGAGGTCTTGTGCAGCAGATTTGCTAATGCAATACATTGTCTGATTTCTTGACTGCTGCTTCCATGAGTGTTAATTGTTGATCTGAACAAAATGAAGTCTTTGACAACTTCAATATTTTCTCTGTTTATACAAATGCTGTTTATTTGTCCAGTGGTGAGAATTTTTGTTTTCTTGACATTGAGGTGCAGTCCATAGCAAAGGCTGTGGTTTTTGATCTTCATCAGTAAGTATTTTTAAATCCTCTTCACTTTCAGCAAGCAAGGTTGTCTCATCTACTTATCTCAGGTTGTTAATGAGTCTTCCTCCAATCCCGATGCCATGTTTTTCTTCATAGAATCCAGCTCCTCTAAATATGTGCTCAGCATACAGATTGAATAAATACAGTGAAAGAATGCAACTCTGGTAATTTTAAACCATTCGGTGTTCCCTTGCTCTATCTGAACAACTGCCTCTTGGTCTATGTACAGGTTCCTCATAAGCCCAATTGAGTGTTCCGGAATACTCATACTTCACAACGCTGTCCATAGCTTGTCATGATCCACACAATCGAAAACCTTTGTACAGTCAATAAAGCACAAGTAAACATCTTTCTGGTATTCTCTGCTTTCAGCCAAGATCCATATTATGTTAGTAATGTTAGTAATGACATTCTCTTCTGAATCCAGCTTGAGCCTCTGAGAGTTCTCTGTCATTGTACAGCTACAGCTGTTTTTTATTATCTTTAGCCAAATTTTACTTGCTTACAATATTAATGATATTGTCCAAAGATTTCTGCATTGCATTGGATCACCTCTCTTTGGAATAGGTGCAAATAATGGATCTCTTCCAGTCAGTTGGCCAGGTAGTTGTCTTCCAAATTTTTTGGAATCCATGAATGAGTGCATCCAGTGCCACCTCACTTTCTAGAAAGATTTCAATTTTTATTCCATCAATTCCTGGACCCTTGTTCTTTCCCAATTCCTTCAGTGTACCTTGAACTTCTTCCAAGTGTCATTGGCTTCAGTGTCATTGGCTCTTGATCATATGCTACCTCTTATAATGGTTGAACATCAAATATTTCTTCTTGGTATATTGACTGTGTATTCCTTCCATCTTCTTTTGATGCTTTCTTCATCATTCAGTATTTTGCTCATAGAATCCTGCAACATTGCAAGTCCAAGCTTGAATCTTTTCTTCAGTACCCTCAGCTTGAGAAATGCTTTGGTTTTCTAATCCAGTTCTTTGCACATTTCCTTATATTTAACTTTGTTTTCTCATGCTGACCTTGAAATTTTCTGTTCAGCTCTTGTACCTCCTCTTTTCTTCCATTTGATTTAGAATCTCTTACTATGGAAAGCAAGTTTCAGAGTCTCTTCTGACATCCATTTTGGTCTTTTCCTTCTTTCTTGTCTTCTTAATGACCCTTTGCTTTCTTCCTATATGATGTTCTTGGTATCATCCCACAACTCTTCTGCTTATGAGTCTTTAGTGTCTAATGTATCAAATCTGTTCTTCAGATGATCTCTCAATTCAGGAGGGATATGTTCCAGATCCTATTTTGGCTCTTTTGTACTTGTTTTAATTTTCTTCATCTTCAGCCTGAATGTGCATATGAGCAATTGATGGTCTGTTCCACAGTCTACTCCTGGCCTTGTATTTGCTGAATTATCTTTCAATCTCATTTTTCCATGACCATTTTGTGCCAAGAACCTGCCTCAACATAGGTGTTTGGTTCACAAGGAGGGGATATCTGGCGGCGATAGGGATAGCAAAAGAGGAGACATAAAGACGCAAGGACAGAGACAAAGAGACACCCCAAAACCAGAGTGGATGCGGGACTGGCATCAGGCGGATCCTGCATTGCAAACATCTCAGCCATGAAGGCCGTAATATCCTGCATAGTAAACATCTTGGCTAAGCAGGCAGTATGGTTGCAATGTTGGACTGAGCCCCCTGCATGCCGTAAAGCACGCCTTGCCAGCCGTAATGCACCTGGATTTGTTCTGCACCTCCGTTTTATTTAGGGGAGGAACTATACACAAAGCTGGGAGGGACTAAGACAAGGTAGAGCTAACATACGTAATTTTCCATACATTCAGGCAACTTTACATTATACTCCACAGGTTCAAATCTCACGACCACAACTTGGTTTCTCAAGCTTAATTATCATACCTTTTAGCACCTAGCCTCAAATGGGGGAAGGAAAAGGAGGATTGGGAGGAGTCCCATTGTGCCCAGACCAGGTTTCTCAGGAAGCGAGATGCCTGGGTGAATAGGGCTGCACCTGGAAACACTTTAGGGAGGGCAGTCCTATTGTCCTTAGAACAAAGACTCGGGAAGCCACCCAATTTACTTTGACTGAATTCTTTGAGGGAAGAACTTTGCCTTTTTGGAATTTTACAGTCTCAGCGTTTAGGAAAATATTACAGTTATCTGTGGATATCAGGGCTTCATGTATGCAATTAATAATAAACATACCTGAATACTAAAATGACAAACAGTTTGTTATGTCTGCTAAGTGGCTAGAGTCTGTTCCTCAGAGCCTGCGGCCTGTACGGTCTGCAACACTTGGGCCCACAGGGTCTCGAACTCCTGCCTGGGTCTGGACAGTCTGCAACAATTTTGAAGCCTCAATATATATGTCGTTGTTAAGTATCATGGAGTTGGTTCTGACTCATAGCATCCCTGTATTGGGTTTCCAAGGAGTGGCTGGTGAGTTTGAACCACTAATCTTGTGGTTCAAACTGACTTTGTGGATGAGTGCTTATCCTACAGTGTCACACTATATATAGGAGTCCTGGTGGATTAATGCTATGCATTAATGCACTGGACTGCAAAGTCGGTTTGAACCACAAAGTTGGTGGTTCAAGTTCACCAGTTGCTCCTTGCAAACTGTACATACGGCCTCTATGGGTACGAACTGACTTAATGGCACATTACAACAATATATATGGAGTCCTGGTGTGGTGCTGTGAGTTAATGTGCCAGACTGCAAAGCCATATGAACTGCACGGTTGGTGGTTCAAGCTCACCAGCTGCTCCTTGGAAACTATACACAGGGTCACTATGCGTCAGAATGGACTCAACGGCATTCAACAACAATATATATATATATATATAATGCATTAGACACTAATGACTGTACAAAGACTTTGAATTTTGCTCTCCTATGTAGTAGAGATGCTAAAGCAAATGGAAGAAATAAGGAGCCTGATTCGTATCCACTATGCTACTATATATATATATATATATATATATATATATATATATATAGTCCTGGTGTGGTGCTGTGGGCTAAAGCACTGGACTGCAGGTTAATGCACTGGACTGAAAAATCAGTTTGAACTATAAGGTTGGCAGTTCAAGCTCACCAGCCACTCCTCAGAAACCCTATACAGAGTTGCTATGGGTCAAAACTGAAATGGACTCTATGGCACTTAACAACAACAAATATACATATATATTTGTTGTTGTTAAGTAGTCATCAAGTTGGCTCCAACCAATAGCAACACTGTATGGAGTTTTTAAGGAGTGGCTGGTGAGCTTGCACTGCTGATGTTGTGGTTTGAACCAACTTTGCAGTCCACCAGGATTCTCTCTCCTCTCTCTCTCTCTATATATATATATCCTGGTGTGGTGCTATAGGATAAACACTCAACCACAGGGTCAGCAGTTGAAGATCACAGGCCACTCCACTGAAACACAAGTAGCTTATGAGTCAAAACTGACTTGACAGCACGTAACAACATGTGTGTGTGTGTGTGTGTGTGTGTGTGTCAGTGATGTCAAGTCAGTTCTGACTCACAGTAGCTTTATATAGAGTTTCCAAACAGAGACTCATGGGTTTCAACCATTGACCTTGGAGTTAGCAGTTCAATACTTATCCTACAGAACCACAGCACTCCCAATGTATTTATATATATTGAGTCCTGATGTGGCACTGTAAGGAAAAAAATGAGGCTTCCCACTCCCACAAGGATTTACAGCCTCTGAAAACCTATGAATCGGAACCGACTCGACAACACTTAACAACAACATACATATAAATTACATGAAATGGAATCCTAAAGGCAGGTCTCGACTTTAGAATATACATATATCTGCCTCTGCTTAATTATTATAATGAAGAAATAGACTTATGAAGCATTTGGTGCAATCAGTGAGTATTTTTAAGACCAAAAGTTTAGGAATGATAAGAACTAAAGCAATGACAAGAATGTTAGCCACAGTGAAGTTGTAGTCTAACTATCAAGATACTGCTCATTTCACAGATTGAGACCCTGCTTGAAGTAGTTACAGGCTTATGTAAAGAAAATTGTTGAGGCAATATGATTTTCAATCAATTTAAGTATTCATGTAGAAAAAATAATTGGTGTGAATTTTGAGTTTGAATTTACAGAATATACAATGTACTCATAACTGATCTGGTGTTTCTCCTTGGCAGATCCATTACAAGACTTTGGCTTTTCCATTGACCAGTGTTCCAAACAATTAAAAGCAAATCTCAACATTAGATTTGGAATGATTCTGAGTAAGTATATCCCACAGCCCACAGCCCTTCATGATCCATACCCCCCAATGACTTCTATTAACTATGTTGTTGTTAAGTGCCGGCAAGCTAGTCGCCCTGTATTGGATATCCAAGAAGAAAGCTGGTAAGGTTGAACCACCACCCTTGCAGTTCAAGGTGACTTTCCAGTCCAGTGTTTATCCTACAGCACCACACCAGACTCCTCTATTAACTATGTTGTTAAATTGCTACTCATAGCAACTCCATATAGGGTTTCCAAGGAGCACCTGGTGAGTTTAAACCACTGACCTTGCTATTCAAAATAACTTCGTGATCAAATACTTATCCTATAGTGCCACACCACTATAGTGGTGGCTCAACTACTATTCCCTACCACCCTCTGGAGTTAACTCTATTTCCATCTTAACATCCATTCTCTCCCTGGTCTACCAGAGGAGTAGACCAGTTAATACTGTGCTTTTGTACTGAAAAATACTCAAGGCACTCATTTGGGCAACATAAACACCTGGAATCAGTATACCCAGAAAAAAAAGAAAGAAAGAAAAGAAAAGTATTTTCAGCCTAAGAAATGATGTCTACTCAGGAAAGAGCTTCTGTTTAGTTACCTCAGCATCAAACAAATCTACTTTCATCAGCAAGTCTAGTCACCTGTGCTGTCTTGTTTCCCAAATAACAAATGTAAATTCTTAAACCATGACAGACCTTCCCCCATCAACGAGCTGAATTATATTGATTGTTTAATACTCTATAACTGTCATCCCACACAATCTTCCTGATTGTTTAATATTATATAATTGTGTCCTCCCAGTTATTCAGTATATTTCCTATGGTTATAAAGTATCTCCCTTTTAGATCAGTTTGATCAAAACCAGAGGAAAAGAGTTTAATAGATTTCATATTTGGAATCATTCCAGGTAAGTCTAGGGAGCATGCACAGAAGTCAAGAATTCTTACGCATCTTTGCATTTCCAGAACCCGGCACAAAGTCTTACTCTAGTAGAAGCTTGAGAAATAATGAGAGAGAGGGGTTGGAAGGAGGATAGAAGATTGTAAAATTAAAGGGAGGAGTTGAGAAAAAGCATGGAGAATTGGAAGGCACAACTGTGGACCATTATTGGCACTTCCTACTGTAACTAGTGGGGGTGGTTGTGTGATGTATATTCGGTTCCAACTTAGAGCAACCGTGTATAGGGTTTCTGAGGTTGTAAATCTTCATGGGAGCAGAAAGCCTCATCTTTCTCCACACAGCATCTGGTAGATTTGAACTGTGGACCTTGCAGTTAACAGCTCTGCTCATAATCCACGATGCTACCAGTGTTCCTTCCTACCATAACTACTATTGCTAGACAAGTATTCTATCCTTCAGTATCTACAATAGAGTATCTGTCTAGAAGTAGTAGATGGGTGAGTACTTTTGACTACATGCCTCCTACTACCCCACTATTCTGTGGGACACACAGTGCTATGTAGGTCAGAAGTTCTAAAAGCCAGCACTTCAGGCCTTGCACAAAGGTGACACAACATCAGAGTAAAGAAGTGGACAGATGAACCACTTTGTCCCAGAAAGATCAAGATTAAGAAAGGACCGTTGTTCCCAGGGCTGTCAGCATAATCTCTTCTAAGTGCCATGTCACTAAGAAAAGAAGAGAAAATTTCCCACGCAGAGAATAATTGCTGAGAATGAAAGTTTCCACGGCTCATCCTGTAATAAATTTTGAAAGTCTTTCATATGTCCAGCAAAACATACAATCTAGTAAAGCTATTCTTCTCTTCCCTTAGGAGAGGACATCAAAGAGCTATTTCTCGAAGCAGCTCTTATCTCAAAAGGAGTATCCATTTTTACTTTGTCCTATCCCATTTGTGAAAGTGATCATCCAAAGTTTTCTTTCTGTGGAAGAAGGAAAGGGGGTAAGTTGTCTGTTTTGCTAACTACTTTCTCAGGCACAGAAAGAAAGTTTAACAAGAGCTTGCACACAGGTGGGGTCGGACACACAGGTGAGTCCCTTGTTCTACCACACACCTTTGGACCAGGGCTTGGATCCTGTTCATTTCACAGACTCCCTCCTGAGAATGTGTGTTTCCAGATATACTGAATCAAGATCTATATTTTAACATAGCTCCCCAGGTGAATCTTGTATGTACATTATACATTGTTAAAATGTAGATTCTGATTCAGTATACCTGTTGTTGTTGTTGTTGTTGTTAAGCGCTGTCAGGTTGGTTCTGACTCACAGTGACACTGTAATAGGGTTTCCGAGGAGCAGCTGATGGGTTTGAACTACCAACCTTGTAGTTTGAAGTCCAGTGCTAATCTTACATCGCCACACCAGGAGTCCATACCTGGTGTAAAAATGCAAATTCTTAGCATGGAGTTGAGCCAAATTAACCTGTCTGAAGCCCGGCTTTGGACTAAGGTAATATCACGGAATGGCATCTGTGAAATAAAAACAATGGTGAGGACCTATTTTAAAAGGCTGCCGTGGAGATGGAATGAACCAATCCATCTGAGGTGCTTTACAGCAGAAAGCTGTTCCCAGTGACAGTGGCGCCTTGTGTGGCGCTGTAGGATCAGCACTCAACTATAAGGTCTGTTTGAACTGCAAAGTCCTCAGTTCAAACTCACCAGCAGCTCCTTGGAAACCCTATGCAGTGTCCCTAAGAGTTGAAACCGACTCAATGGCACTTAACAACAACTAGAAAAAAAGAGTAGTTTCCAAAATCCCAAGTGTTTGTAAGACTTGCTGCAACTGAGTACCACAAACTGGTAACTTGATGCTTATAAGATCGAAATTTCTCCTACTTTGAATTTTATGTCAAACCCACATTTTCAGTAATGGAAGGCATTGTGAATAAAATGAAAGTTTTGTGTTTTTTTTAATTTTTCCTTTTGAGGTAATACAGATTGCAAAACAATTAGGAGAATAAATATATCTCAAGAGGTCCCTGGTGCTGAGGTTGATGGGATAAGGCCTGTTTCTTTAGATTCACACCGTTATACTGGTCCCCACCAATTTGGCAGTATGCACTTAAAATGGAATAGCAGCTTCCCACTAAACCTCAGGGGCAGAATATGTAGGTGGGAGTTATATGTCCTAGGGATCACAAAAGGGTTAAAATGACAGAAATTGATTCTTTCACAGATGTGGAGTTCTCATGTCCAGATTCAGGATGTCAGCAGGGCCATGTTCTCTGTAAACTTTCTTGAGGATGATTGTTTCATGTCTCCTAGATGCTGACAGCTCCAGACATCTCTTGCCTCATGGCAAACTGACTCCATTCCGTGCCTCCATTGCCACATGGCTAACTTTCCTCTGTCTGTCCACTTGAATCTCTTGTTTATAGGATATCACTCATTGTGGATTAGGACCTAACAAACTACAGTATAAACTCATTAATTTAACTGATAGCACCACCGAAGATCCTATTTCCCAGCAAGACCATGCACAGAAAGCAGGGGGTTAGGACTTCAACAAATCTTTTTGGGTGATACGATTTAATGCAGAACACTAGGTTTTCTCTTCAGCAATCTCTTCAGTGGAAAGGTCTCTAAAACTCAATACCAAAAAAAGTATATACAGTATTCTTTGCCAACAACATAATTCCAAAGGCATCGGTTTTTCTTCTGTTTCTTTTATTTATTGTCCAGATTTCCCCCATGTATATGAGGCAGTTGAAGATGTCATAACTTGAAACACCTTAGTCCTCAAATTGAAATCTTTTCTTTTTAACACTTTAAAGAGGCCTTTTGTAATAGATCTACCCAATGCAATATGTCATTTGATTTCATGGTTACTGCTTCCAGGGGAATTGCTTGTGAATTTAAGTAAAGTAAAATCTTTGACACCTTCAATATTTTCTGTTTATCATGATATTGTTTATTGGTCCAGTTGTGGAGATTTTTACTTTCTTTATGTTGATGTGTAATAATCCACACTGAAAGGAGCCCTGGTAGCGCAGTGGCTACGAATCGGGCTGCAAACCGCAAGGTCAGCAGTTCGAAACTACCAGCTGCTCCGAGGGAGAAAGATGAGGCTTTCTGCTCCCGTAAAGATTTATAGCCTCGGAAACCCTGTACAGGGTCACCATAGGTCGGAACTGACTCCACGGCACACAACCACCACCAAGCCACACTGGAGGTTATAATCTTTGATCTTCATCAGTAAGGGCTTCAAGCCCTCTTTGCTTTCAGCAAGCAAGATTGTAGCATCTGCATATTTGCATATCAGGTTGTTAATGAACCTTACTCCAAATGTGATGCCACATTATTCTTCATATAGTCCAGCTTCTCAGATTATATGCTCAGCATACAGATGTAATACATACAGTGAAAGAATACAGCCCTGACACACACCTCTCCTGCTTTGATCAATGCAGTATCCCCTGTTTGAACTGCCTCTTGGCCTATGTACAAATTCTGCATGAGCACAATGAATTGTTCTGCAATTATCCTTTATCACAATGTTAATCATAATTTGTTATGATCCACAGAGTTAAATGTCTTTGCATAATCAATAAAACACAGTTTAGTATCTTTCTGCTATTCTCTGCTTTCAGCCAAAATCCATTTGACATTAGCAATGATATTGCTTGTTATATGTTCTCTTCTGAAACCAGCTTGAATTTCTGGCAGTTTCTTATCAATGTACTGCTGTCCCCAAAAGTTTGTTTGCATGTGATATTAATGACATTGTTGGATTATTTTAGTGTTCTGTTGAATAAGCTTTCTTTGGAAATGGGCACAAATATGGATCTCTTTAGTTAATGGACCAGGCAGGTAACTTCCAAATTTCTTACCATAGATAAGTGAGCATTTCCAATGTTGCATCTTTTTGTTGAAACTCCTCAATTGATATTCTGTCAATTCCCGGAACCTTGTTTCTCACCAATATCTCCAGTTCAGCTTGGACTTCTTCCTTCAGTCTCATTGGTTCTTAATCCTGAAATGGTTAAACATAAACCAATATTTTTTGGTACAGTTATTCTGTGTATTGTTCCCATCTTCTTTGATGCTTAATGCCTCATTCATTATGTTGCCTGTAGAATTTAGTGTTTCAAACCAAGTCTTGAATTGTTCCTTCAGTTCTTTTAGTTTGAGAAATACTGAGCATGTGCTTCCCTTTTTGTTTTCTTACTTCAGGTCTTTGCACATTTCATTATAACACTTTATTTTGTCTTCTTCAGCTTCCCTTCAGTTCTTGTACTTCATCATTTTTTCAGTTGCTTTAACTTTTCTGTGTTCTAGAGCAAGTTTCAGAATCTCTTTTGGTCTTTTCTTTTTTTCTGGGTGTTTTTGTTGTTGTTTTTTGTTTTTTAAATGATCTTTTGCTTTCTTGTGTTTAATGTCCTTGATGTCATCCCTCAACTCTGCTGGTCTTTGATCATTAGTGTTCAATGGATCAACTCTATTCTTGAAATGGTCTCTAAATTCAGGCGGGAGATGCTCAAGGCCATACTTTGGCTCTTACAGACTTGTTTTATTTTCTTCAGCTGCAACTTGAACTTGCATAGGAGCAACTGATGATCTTGTCCTGTTGACTGATGATATCAAACTTCTCCATTGTCTCTTTCCACAGATGTAGTTGATTTGATTCCTGTGTTTTCTATCAAATGAGATCCATTTGCATAGTCATCATTTATGAAAACAGGTATTTGCAGTGAATAAATCACTTATCTTGCAAAATTCTCTCATGCAATCTTCTGCACTATTTCTACCACCAAAGCCATATTTTCCAACTCCCAGTCCTTATTCTTTGTCTCCAAATTCTACATTTCAATCACCAGTAACTATCAATCCATCCTAATTGGATTTCTGATCAATGTCAGATGGCAGAAGTTGGTAAATTGTTGTATTTCTTCATCTTTAGCATTAGTGGTTGGTGCACACATTTAAAAGATATTAACTTGTCTTCCTCCTGGGTGTATGGCTATTATCCTATAACTTATGGCATTGTACTTCAGGTTAGATTTTAAATGTTCTTGACAACGAATGTGATACCACTCCTCTTCAACATGTCATTCTACTGTAATAGAGTATGCAATTGTGTAATCCAATTTAAAATGGTCAATATCAGTCCATTTCAGCTCACAAATGCCTAGCATATATATCTTTATGTATTCTATTTTATTTTTTTAGGTTATTGGCTAGACACAAACTGTACTACCCAGGGACCTTGCTTGATACTTGTTGTCATTGTTTTTAGGGACTGTTGGGTCAGTTCTGACTGCACAACAGAATGAAACACTACCCAGTTCTATGTCACCTTAACAATTGTTACATTTATACCCTTTGCTTCTGCTACTGTGCCAATCTATCTTATTGGAGGTCTTCCTCTTTTTTGCTGATCCTCCACTTTATCTAACATGTGTCCTTCTCCAGGAACTGGCCCTTCTGGATAATATATCCAAAGTACGAGAGATGAAGTCTGCCATCCTAGCTTCTAAGGAGCATTCTGGCTGTATTTCTTTCAGTGCAGATTTGTTTGTTCTTTTTAGTATTCTTTGGTAGTTTGAATATTCTTCTCGAACACCAAAACTCAAATGCATCAATTCTCCTTTGGTCTTCCTTATTCAGCGTCCAATGTTCACATGTATGTGAGGCTATTGAAAATACCATGGCTTGGGTCAGGTGCACTTTAGTCTTCACCCTGACACCTTTGCTCTTGAACACTATAAAGAGACATGTGCAGCATATTCACCTAATGCAACATGTCATTTGACTTCTTGACTTCTGCTCCCATGAGTGCTTATAGTGGATCCAAGAAAAATAACATCTTAAACAGCTTCAATCTCTTTCCATTGATCATGATGTTATTTATTGGTCCAACGGTGAGGAGTTTTGTTTTCTTTTCATTGAGGTGCAACCCATACTAAAGGTTGTGCCTGTGATCTTCATCAGTAAGTATTTTAAG